GACCGTTCCTTCAAGCACCCAGCAGAAATACTTAGCAGTTCCTGCCTTGAAAAAGCCATTTCCTTGCCCGTCCACACAATGCCATAGGTTCAGGGGTGTGTCAGAATTGATTCCCATTGCAAGCCTGGCTCATCTACCAACCCGGGGGGGGGGGGGGGGGGGAGTGTGTGTGTGGGGGGGAATCATCTCTTGTAAGTACTGAATCTGTGCCATCATATGAAACACTCTTTTGATTTCTCTGGTTTCGTGATTTTCACGTTTTTAGGTCACTCTGTGTCCTTGGAATTTTCTTTTTCATACTGCCCTTTCTGATGCCAATTTGTGCCCATTTATTCCTTTACGCTGAGATGGAGTGATGAGGCTCAAAGCTTATGCCCTGATGCATTGTTGGTTTTTAAGGCAGTTGGATATTTTTTTTAATCTTGGCTTCCACTTAAAAGCACATTTGCTCTTGTTCTGTCGGTGCAAGCAATTTCCTTTCATCAGATGTGTGGCGCACGTGAGGAACCACGGGCCATTGAAACACAACGTCTTGCACAAAATGGTCCGAGCTTTAGGAGTGGGGATGCGGATCTAAAAGCATTTATTTTTAAAAGCAGGGGACAACCTCAGAATGTAGATCAAAATCATCTTGGGGAGAGCAAGGGCAGCGCGTATCCCCCCTTCTCTCAGTTCTCTTTTAAGTTTGATGCGAGAACATTTGTTTTCCAAATAATTTCAGTGAATGACAGGAAATGTTCATGAGCGTAATGAAGGATTTATTTTATTTTATTTTTCTGCATTTCTTTAACTATAAAGTAGCAAGAATATCCTCTCTTTTCCCGTACAATCTTCTGTTAGGTAGCTTGTAGCCTTTCCTGGCCTCCCATTCTTCCCTTAAGTATGTTGGTTTTCTGCAAGCCAATGCCAGGTTTTTTCAGAGTATCTTCCCCTGATTTGATCTGATGTTGCATTCTTTTATTTTCTTTCTATCCTTGTTGTATTGTTGTACTTTTATTTTGGTTTGGAGCTTGCTACGTATTTCTGTGTGAGCTGCTGATAATTATTTTTGATTTTGGTGGTACTCAGATGGATGGATGGATGGATGGATGGATGGATGGATGGATGGATGGATGGATGGACAAATGAACGAACCAACGAATGAACGAATGAACGAACGAACGAATGAATGAATGAATGAATGAATGAATGAATGAATGAATCCCCTGGCAAGGTAACAGGAGGAATCTATTAGTGATTTCCCCCCTGCCCTCTCTCTTTCCATTTCATTCTAGGACTGAATCTGTGGCTGAGAAGATGCTAACCAACTGGTTCACGTTTCTTCTTTATAAATTTCTCAAGGTAAGAGAACCCGTTTTGATGCTTCCCTTTTGCTTGTTCAAAGACGGAATCCAAATAGAGGTTGTGGGATCTATCCTTTTATGATCTGCATGCTGTTGTTTAATGGTGTTGGTTTATTGTGTGCATTATTTATTATTTTTTATTTAGCATGTGCATTATTATCCCCACCCCCACCCCCGTCATCTCAAATGTTTTTAGGATTTATGTACAGGGTTGGTTTGTTATACTTGATTTTTAGTGGATTATTTATTTTAATTATTTATGGGGTGTTTTTAATTGTTGATGGGGTTTTTGATTTTCACCGTGAGCCGCCCAGGGTCACCCGTTGGGGGAGATGGGTGGCGTACAAATTTAATAACAAATAAATAAATAAAAAATAAAATTATTTTAGACACATGTGGGATCTACAAAGGTGTTGGATCTACAGGTCCCAAGTCAATGTGGCAGAAAAGGGAAGTTGCCTTTCAATTCCTCTGGAGGGCCCAATGTTGGGCAAAGTTGCTCTAGTATTTTGAGGGGCAATGCATGCTATGAGAGCCAGTTTGATGTAGTGGTTAAGGTACCAGGCTAGAAATCAGGAGACTGTCAGTGATAGCCCTACGTTGGGCACAAAGCCAGCTGGGTGACCTTGGGCCAGTCCGTCTCTCTCAGCCCTGGGAAGAAGAAGAAGAAGACCAGTGCAAACCACGTAAGAAAATGCTGCCTAGAAAACTGCAGGAACTTGATGAATTGACAGCCAACTTGATCTAGTGGTGAAGGTGCTGGACTACAAACCAGGAGACTGTGAGTTCTAGTCCTGTCTGAGGCACAAAGCCATCTTGGTGACCTTGGGCCAGTCCCTCTCTCTCAGCCCTGAGGGAGAGGGAGAATGAGGAGGAGGAGGAGGAGGAGAGGAGGAGGGGGAGGACCACCACCACCACCACCAGCAGCAGCAGCGCAAAGCACTTAAGAAAATGCTGCCTAGAAAACTGCAGGGACCTGTCCATGTAAAGACAGCCAGTTTGCTCTAATGGTGAAGGTGCTGGACTAGAAACCAGGAGGCCATGAGTTCTAGTCCTGCCTGGGACACAAAGCCAGCTGGGTGACCTTGGGCCAGTCCCTCTCTCTCAGCCCTGAGGGAGAGGGAGAATGAGGAGGAGGAGGAGGAGGAGAGGAGGAGGGGGAGGACCACCACCACCACCACCAGCAGCAGCAGCGCAAAGCACTTAAGAAAATGCTGCCTAGAAAACTGCAGGGACCTGTCCATGTAAAGACAGCCAGTTTGCTCTAATGGTGAAGGTGCTGGACTAGAAACCAGGAGGCCGTGAGTGCTAGTCCTGCCTGGGACACAAAGCCAGCTGGGTGACCTTGGGCCAGTCCCTCTCTCAGCCCTGGGAGGAAGAAGAAGAAGACCAGTGCAAACCACGTAAGAAAATGCTGCCTAGAAAACTGCAGGGACCTGTCCATGTAAAGACAGCCAGTTTGCTCTAATGGTGAAGGTGCTGGACTAGAAACCAGGAGGCCGTGAGTGCTAGTCCTGCCTGGGACACAAAGCCAGCTGGGTGACCTTGGGCCAGTCCCTCTCTCAGCCCTGGGAGGAAGAAGAAGAAGACCAGTGCAAACCACGTAAGAAAATGCTGCCTAGAAAACTGCAGGGACTTGATGAATTGACACCCAGTTTGGTCTAGTGGTGAAGGTGCTGGACTGCAAAGCAGGAGACTGTGAGTTCTAGTCCTGCCTGAGGCACAAAGCCATCTGGGTGGCCTTGGGCCAGTCCCTCTCTCTCAGCCCTAGGAAGGAGGCAATGGGGCAAACCACTTCTGAAATCTTGCCAAGAAGACTGCAGAGGCTTGTCCAGGCAGTCTCCCGGAGTCAACACTGACTCGAAGGCACCAAAAAACCAAACCGAATCAAAAAAAGCTTCCTATGAAGATGCAGGGGCTGGAGAAAAATGCAGATGCTTGTCCAGTTCTTGCAGCTTAGTGGTCTCAATCTCAATCCAGTTTAAGATTTCCGTAACGGATGGCTTATACACAGTTACGCTGTCCTGTGATGCCCCAGTGCTTAGCATGAATTCCAGTGTGCCTTCCATGGCGACAGATAATCAGGGAGCACCACATCTCTAGAGCTGAAAGCCTTGAGCGTCTACGTAGCCCTTCTCCTGCCTCCAGTGACCTGCTTGCAGCCAGGAAAAGTTTCAGAGGACCCGGGAAGGTCAATCCGCGGTTCCAGCTATCAGATTCCCATTTCCAGCTGAAAGTGGGGGATAGAAGGAGGTGAGCCACCGAAAGCTTTGCTCTCATAATCGGCTATTTTCTTTCCCCCACTCACCTTCTTGTCTTCCTGCCTCTTTTCCGAAAAGGCAGTCCGATAAGCCGCACGCAAGCAATATGTTGCCGGGAGATAAGCTAATTAAGTGGCAAGCAGATGCTGGAGGAAAAGAAAGGGTCCCCTTTTGCTTCTGACCAGGGACAAAATTGAAATGATGCTGACGGATCGGGGACGAGAGCCAGAACGGCAGAGGAGGACGATGGCCATAGGGGACAATAACAGAAAACGGGGGAATCCGTTGGTTCAGGCTGCAGCCTGAGCACTCTGCAGGTCTCTGAGTTTCTGCTGGAAACCCAGCCAGTTTCCAGCAGAGTTTTTCTTTCTTTCTTTTTCCCCTCTTTTTCTCGGTCCCCTTCTTGGGCTGTCTTCCCTGGATTGAATGAGAGGTTGTAAACTGCAAGGATTTACTTAGAGAGCAGGGGTTCAGTTCCCTTGTGATCTGTTTTGCATAGAAGATCAGGATGATGAAGCTTTTGGGGGGCATTGCCCCCCCCCCAGGATCTCTGCAAAAGAGGTCAGTGGCCAAATTGCAAAAGTCAGAGCGGTTGGCAGCAGGAGTGTCTGCAGAGGTCCTCAAAGTCAAGATGGTGGCCATTACTGCGAGCAAAGCCTGTCCTTTTTTTTTTTACATGCGATGACATTGTTGTGATACTCATTAAAAAGTGGGGCATTGATTGCATGGCTGTGGCAGCCATTTTGACTTTTTGGACCCTTCCCTGGGGGATGCCTCAGGTGGGTGGAACCAGGACCCAAACCAAGTTTGTCTTCATTTAATGTAAATGAAAGTTGCGTTAGTAGGGCAATATCATTCCTTGGGTATTTAATCATCTCTCTCTTTGGTCAAATTCAAAACTACATTTGGGGGCAGGGGCTGGCAGTCCATGTCTGCGTCAAAAAAAAAAACCCATCAAAATTTACCACTGTTTCCCTCTCAGGGCAACCATGAAAAACTTTTAACTCGGTTACTAAATTCGCCCATTTTCTGAGTCAGCCGTTGATCCAATAGGCTGGTCTCGTGTAAGGTTCTAAGCCACACACACACACACCCCAAATTAACCAAGGTTAGCATTAGCCAGACTTAGCAGGCACAAATATAGCCACTCCACCTTTAACTGGCTTGGTTCAACCTGTTGTGTGAACGTAGCCAAAGGTTCTTGCCTTGTTGTTACTATGAGAAGTGGATTCCATTTCTCCTGGTTTAACTTTCCCATATTTTGGGGGTCTTTTTGTTGGACTTATTTAAGTGCCTGAACCATGCCTCGTTTTCACACTTGCTTACTTCTGGGGAGGTTGTCCCAGGAGAAGGCAAGGAAAGGCAAACATGGTTTGTGTGCAGAAAAAGGCCACTGGGGGGAAGGAGGTGTTAAGTCCAGTTTGCAGGGCCCACCACTGCCAAGAGAGCAGTAAAGGAAACTCATTTGACTAGATGGGTCCAGATTTCAGATTACTAAAAGATATTTTGGAACTGAGATGGGGGGAAAAAAAAACAGACAAAAATCTCCCTTTGGAAGTATTAACCACCACAAGATGCTGATGCTGCTGGAATTCAGAGGTCCCCTGTGAAGCTGAAAACAGCAGTAGATTAAAAGTGTCATGTTTATATTAACCAAGCTGAGATGAACAGAGAGAAGACTTTTGAAACACTCAACCCAGTTTATGTTGCTACTTATCTAGAAAGGGTTGAAGTCACATAAGGATGCTTTTAGGGAATGAACAGGGAAGGGAGATACGTGTACAACTACAAGTAGTCCTCGTTTAGTGACTACCTCGTTTGGCAACCGTTTGCAGTTACGACAGTGATGAAAAAGTAAGTTTGTGGCCACTCCTCATACTTACGACCTTCGTAGGTCTGTGGAGTCCTTGGGGTTCTCTGAGCTTGGTTCTTTTCTTGCAAACGTTTCATTACCCAGCTAGGTAACAACGTCAGTGCTAAAATGGGATCCTGGATATCCTCATCAGCAGAGGAAACAACAGGAAATTAGAAACCCAAGTTTATCGGAA